CCCCAAAAAAAAAAAAAAAAAAAAAAAAAAAAAATTAGCTGGGCGTGGTAGCACACACCTGCAGTTCCAGCTACTTGGAAGGCTGTGGAGGGATCGCCTGAGCCCAGCAGATGGAGGCTGCAGTGGCTGTGAGCTTGCCACTGCACTCCAGCCTAGGCAACAGAGTGAGACTCCAACTCAAAGAAAAAAAAAAAAGGAATGTATCAACAACACAAACTCTCAAAAGTACAAAATCACCTCTTTCTGTATTTTACCATTTCTGAAATCAGGATGTTATCACGGTCAATGTGTGTACATTTAACATGGACATGTTTCCTTTTTCCATGCCAAGCTCTTAGCTTGACTGTGAGCCTTAAAATCAGTGGTACAGTCTAGGCTCGGTGGCTCAGCCTATAATCCTGTGCTTTGGGAGGCCAAAGTGAGCGGATTGTCTGAGTCCAAGGGTTCGAGACCTGCCTGGGTAACTTGGCGAGACCTCATCTCTACAATAAAAATAAAAAAATTAGCCGGGTGTGTTAGCGCATGCCTGTAGTTCCAGCTACTTGGAAGGCTGAGGCGGAAGGATCGCCGGAGCCCAGCGGGTCGAGGCTGCGGTGGCCGGGAGCAGCCACTGCACTCCAGGCTGGGCAACAGAGTGACTACAACTCAAAAACAAACAAGCAAACAAATATCAGTGGTGCAGGTTTTGTAACAGAGGAAAGTGAAGAGAAATGGAGACAGGGAAAGTTCCTGAAGAACCTGGGGGAAGACAGAGGTGACAGTTGGCTTTGGGCAGTGATGGAAAGGGAGGGCTGATTGTCCTAGAGCAGCTGTCCAACAGAAACAAAATGTGGGCCTTGTGTGATTTTAAAGTTTCTAGAAGCCACCTTAAAAAAAATGAAACAAGCCTAGATAACCTAGCGAGACCTCATCTCTACCAAAAAAGTAAAAATAAAAAAATTAACCGGGTGTGGTGGCTCACACCTGTTATCTCAGCACTTTGGGAGGTCAAGGTGGGAGGACTACTAGTCCAGGAGTTCAAGACCAGCCTGGGCAACATAGCAAGCCCTACTTCCTAAAAAAAACTAAAAAAATTAGGCAGGTGTGGTGGTGGTGCACACCTGTGGTCCCAGCTACTCAGGAGGCTGAGGTGGAAGGATCGTCTAAGCCCAGGAGGTCCAGGCTGTGGTGAGAGTGATCATGCCACTGCACTCCAGCCTGGGCGACAGAGTGAGAAGCCAACTCCAGAAAAAAGAAAAAAGCGAAACTGATTTCAGTATTTCTATGTAACCCAGTGTATGCAACATGTCACTTCAACATGTAATCATTAGAAAATTATTATGGAAATACTGTACATTCTCCCCCCCCCCAATACACACACCCAATCTCTGAAGTCTGATGTGTATTTGACCCTCCAGCTCCCCTCTGATGGCCTGGTCATCTCAATTGCGATCAGGAGCTTCCGCGACAGTGTATGCCTGGAAAAAGACACCAGCGCCTGCCTTCCAATGGAAGCCCAGGGTTTCCGCGGCTATGCAGGGGCGGGGAGGGATCCCGAGTCGACCAGAGAGAAGCGGCAGAGATAAGGCAGCTTCACACCACCCGGCAACCAGTGGGAAGGGGAGAGCTCACACCAGGGGACAGCACCGCTCCCTGGGAGCCTTATGCCCGGGCGGCTGTGTCCCGGGGACGTCACTTTCTGCAGCCGCTCGGCCCGGGGGCAGCTTCTCGCCTGGGACCCCGAGGGCCTGGCTACCTGCGTCCTTTTCGTGTTCGCCTGTAACAGCCCCGCTGGCTCTCTAGCCCGATTCTCGTAAGCTGCCCAGGCCCTGTCCTGTGCCCTTGGAGGCTTCTCCCCCGCCGAGGCTTCCCGGCCGCGGAGATGCCCAGCGCCCCCGCAGACACGCTGGAGGCCCAGTCCGCGCGGGTGAAGCCTCGGCAGGTGCTTCACGTGACCTCACGGAGCGCCGTGGGCCCGGGCAGGCGCCTCCCATACCGAGAGCCACGGGCAGCTCCTCCACGCCGGAACCGCGGCATACCCGGCAGCCGCAGCACGAACGACACGCGCGCCGGACATTGCATCACCAAAGCTTCCGGCCTGCCGACCGGGGGGCCTGTCATTGACAGATCCGCGGTCCAGTCAGAATGCAACACGAGGGGTTTTGGAGGCGCAGTCGCGGTTCCGCCCCTTGGTTAGGGACTCCGCCCCACTGCCACGTTCGACGAAGGAACGCGCAGGGTGCGCGCATCCCTTGACCAATCAGGAGCCGCAGAGTTCGAGCTACCGAAAGTACTAGCCATTCTCCCCACGGAAGGTGTGGGAGAAAGTCGCCTATCAGGAACGGAGGAAGAGAAAGTTCTCTGCTATCAACCAATAAGAGACTGGGAAAGAGTGAGAGCGCGAGGTCCTCGACCAATCCTGGGCGAGGGAACGGGAGGCCTTCGGGGCGTTTCCGAATCCGGGGCCGAGCCTAGTGTGGGCGTCCAATCCCAGCGCGGCAAAGGCGGGCGCCGGCGCCCTCCGGCCAATCGAAGGAGGGCCCTGAGAGCGCGTGCGCGCCTGAACCGGCGCGCGCGCAGGCGGGGAGACGGGCGCGCCCTCGGTCCAGGATTTATAAAGGCGAGGCCGGGGCCGGCGCGCGCTCTCGTCGCCTCCCCTGTCCCGGCGGCGCCAACTGAACCACCCTGCCCGCTGCCGACGTCTGATATGCTGAACCGCGCTGTACTGTGCCTGGCCCTGGCCGCGGCGGCCCGGGTGGGCGCCGACACCCCCGAGGAGGAGGACCACGTCCTGGTGCTGAAGAAGAGCAACTTTGCGGAGGCGCTGGCGACCCACAAGTACCTGCTGGTGGAGTTCTGTGAGTGCTGGGCCGGGCCGGGCCTGACCGGGGCGGCGGGGGCCTCGGAGCCCGCGTTGGGCAGTTTGGCTCTACCCGTGCGCGCAGGGCTGTCAGCGCTTCTGGTCCTGTGGTCTTGGCCCCTTGGCCACCACCGCGGAGAAGCGATCCGGCTCCTCCTGGGGCCGAAACTCCCCGTGCGCTCCTGCTGTCAGCCTGCGCCGCGCTCCGAGTCGCCTAAAAGGCATCCTTCCTGTCCTCCCTGGAAGCAGTTGTATCCGGGACTGCTTAAGGGTGACTGCCGGGCTGAGAGCCAGGGAGGTGTCTTTGTGCCTCCCGTCCACATGGCAGGAGCCCTCTGTGAGCATAGGAAGAACAGGATAGAACAGGATCGACTTGTGTGATCCAGGCCAATACAAGGAGAAAGCCAGGGTCCAGCCCTGCTCATTACTCAAGAGGCTAACCTGGAGAGCACCTTGCTTCTGCCGGCACCACCTGCAACCTGCCAGAGCTCTTTCTAATGGTGCTGCAGTCCAGAGTCCCAAACCTGTGCTATGTCTATAAAGATTTGAGCTCTATCTCTGGGGTGGTGATCTTAGGCCCAACACAGCTGCTAATCTTTGTTGTCAGGTAGTTTTATTCCCACACTATAAAGAACCAATTTTAAGTCTGAGTCTTAGGGCATACATGCACAGACGTGTATCACACACTCATAACTGTCTCTTACTAGGTATTTAACTGTGTTATTGATTTCTTAACTTTTGTCTGGATAGGAACACCTTTGCCCAAACTACCTGCAGGTAATGGGAAGTTAAGAATCATTAAAGAATTTGTTTCCAGTGCTAATGGTGACATAGCAGAGTGGGGGGTTGGTGTTGGTTTGTCATTCATGGCCTCTGTCCTGATATTGCCCAAGAGCAGCAAGCTATCTGCTCAGCCATGATTGTTAAGAGGGGTTATCTTGGTGAGTAGATAAGGTTTTTATAAAGGGAAGTATAGAGGAGAAAGAAGGGGAAGTATACACCTGGACCAAGTGCTGCTTTCTAGTGTCACATTTTCTTTTTCAGATGCCCCTTGGTGTGGCCATTGCAAAGCTCTGGCCCCTGAGTATGCTAAAGCAGCTGGGAAACTGAAGGCAGAAGGTTCTGAGATCAGATTAGCAAAGGTGGATGCCACCGAAGAGTCTGATCTGGCCCAGCAGTATGGTGTGCGTGGCTACCCTACAATCAAGTTTTTCAAGAATGGAGATACGGCTTCCCCCAAAGAGTATACAGGTGTGACTGGGCACTGCCCTTTAACTGCCTTTAGAGAGGTGGGGATGCCCATTTTCAGAGGCTTGGAGGGACCTGTTCGCAGACTGGGTTCTCTGTCTAGTTTTACCCCAGAGGGTCCTGTGAGGAAAGTTCTCTCTTCCTGGAAGAACCTAGCAAGTGGAGAGTGTTGTGTCTGTGTCTGGTGACATCCTGGGGGATACCTGGCTGGCTGAAGCTTGTCTGGAGATTGACCAGCGAGAAGAAGGGGGCTGGTATTATTCTGACATGGGGCTCTTTGAGCTATCTGTGTTTCTAGGAGAAGCAGAAGAGTAGCTGTAACTCTTAGGGTAGCACTTGCTAACTATCGAGTGCTTGTAGCATGCCAGCTGCCAAGCTGAGCGCTTGTGTGATTGCTCTTTGGATCCTCTCCGTGAGTCGGGCCTTTCACAGACAAAGGGCTGAGTTTTAGAGCGACCGAATAACAGTATCACATCTGTCAGTTGCAGACCTCGAATTCAAGCCTGACTTCATCTACAGCACACCCTTCAGCTGCTGTTCTGCTACCTGAAGGCGGGTCCCTTTGTAGCTAAGTCAAGTCAGGTACCAGTGGTAAAAGAAATCTTTTGTCTCAGGTGAGCCTTCTACTTCAAACTTCCAAATAGCTGGAACTGTAGGCATGCGCCACCATACCCAGCTAATTTTATATATTTATTTATTTATTTTTATTGTAGAGGTGAGGTCTCGCCAAGTTGCCCAGGCTGGTCTTGAACCTGTGGGCTCAGGCAGTCCTCTCACCTTGATCTCCCAAAGTACTGGAATTATAGGTGTGAGCCACGGTGCCCGGTCGAATCCTTTGTCTTTTAAAACCAGTTCCAAAACCAGGCTCGGTGGCTCAGCCTGTAATCCTGCGCCTTTGGGAGGATGAGGTGAGTGGATTGTCTGAGCCTGTGTGTTTGAGACCCGCCTGGGCAGGTGAGACCTCATCTCTACAATAAATCAAAAAATTAGCCG